ACTGTGATTGTGAAATTGTCCCCCCGTGTCTCAAAATTTGTAGAGTTATTGCCTTATCAGCTAGTTATTAAGCAGTTAATCCTTTTTAATAAATTTTATTAGATTTATTTTGTTACATAAATGATGTTTTGCCCTATACGTTTATGAAAAATGCAAAAATACCTATTTTTCTTAAAACATTATGCAAGGAAGATAGTATCATATATTGAAATGATAGTTTACAATGCTCTAACAACTACTCAAAAATATTTTAGTTATTCTGAATGTTTAGATCTGTTTTGAGACGAAATGGGGCTCAGAACCCAGAGAAAGGCTTTTCTTTTTAAGGGGGCTATAAAATGTAATATGTAAAATATTCTGTTATCATTCCCTGTGTGCCTTGTAGAAAAAGTTTAACCAAAAAAAATATATCAGTTTGCTAATTATCTGAAAACTGAATCAGTTGGACAGTTGGATATATTTATTGTGAACCTTGTTGAATCAACTACTTACTTCAAAATAATACATAAGTACAAATGGCATTTTCATGCTGATTTAAACTTGAAGCATGGTATTTTTAAATTCATTTTCATTTATTAAAGCTATATGATTTGCATATTTTTTTTAAAGTAGCAACCAAATAAATATCCAACCTTCCTGGAAAACTGTTTTTTTTCTGTTGATAAGAATGTAAGTTGTGAAAAGTTAGACTTGACAGTATCTCAACATTAATTCTTGGCTTCAGATCTTAATATATATCCCAGAAATTATTTCAGAAATGGCAAAATTATTTACAGAAATAAGAAAAGATTGAAGGAAAATACTTTTTAACAATTTTAGCGCAAAGTTATAACAACTATGTCAGTATTAAAAGTTTGGAGCTTTCTAACCTGGCAGGTTTCATGACAGACTAGACAACCCATACCTCCTTGAGTCATAATTTCAGAGATATCTCCTTACCTCAACAGAGAAATGGAACGATCAATAGTGGGCAAAAAAAGCAGTGAGAGCAGAAGTGATTCCTAACTTCCTGCTTACTTTCCCATTGATTTTCCTTGAGGAAATCTGGCAAACAGTATCAGAAACTCTTTTGCAGCAGGCAGGCCAATTCTGCTAAGTGGTGGAGGGAGGGAACGACTGCAAGACTGTATGAGAAACTGTCACAGAACTTTGAAATTAAAGACCACATGACTGTAGCAGCAGCTCAGCAGGGTAGCAGTAGCCAGAACTTTCACAAATTCATTCCATTGGAAATTGTGGGTCCAAATTTTGGAGACATTCTGTAAGTTAGCTCATTGCCTAGGTTCAAAACTCTTAATTAGTGTGTGGCAAGATGAGCGGCTAATACATTTTACAAATAAATTAAATAAAAATTGGTGCCTATTATTGATGTAGGTCATGACAATAAGAGCATTTATGGTATATACTTAATAGCTGTAAACAAGATATACTATGGTCCTGCATACTAAAAGTTTATGAGCCATGGTGGTGCATTGGCTAGATGCAGTATTGCAGGCTAATTCTACTGACTGCCAGGGGTTCGATCCTCACCAGCTCAAGTTTGACTCAGCCTTCCATCCTTCCAAGGTCAGTAAAATGAGGACCCAGATTGTTGGGGGCAATATGCTGAGACTGTAAACTGCTTAGGGCTGTAAAAGCACCGTGAAGCAAGTCTAAGTGCTATTGCTATTTACTCAATGGGATACTTTCAGGGAGTATCTGAACGTCCTAACATCTGTTTGTTTCAAAATAAGAGAATGTATGAGAAGGAATTGTAGCCGAGAACAAAATGGAGTGAGGAAAAATGATTCAATATTAAAATGCATTTGCAGAATATTATGTACGTTTGTTCAAAATTCTTGTATAGTATGAGAGAGAGAGAGAGAGAGAGAGAGAGAGAGAGAGAAATAAATAAGGAAAGAAAATGGAATTCCCATTCTATACTTATTTCACCTCCTTTCCGTATCATGGATTCAACAGATGCAGTTTGTTTGCCTTTTCCTGAATTAGGCATAACTAACATGGATAACGTAGCCAAATTGAATGTTTAGAAACATCTGGCATGTATGGTTGTTGTGATTAATTCATTCATTTTGGACTTGACCTTGTTTATCTAAACAGAAATATTTATAAATCTTCTGCACATGTTATCCATTTCCTGTTATACAAAATCACTGACTTGCATACTAAGCAATGTGCTGAGATTTCAAATGCTTGATATCCAGGAAAAAATTGCATGTTGCCATAAACTCTTTACAGGTTGACCATATTTAGCAAATAGAATTTGATAAGAATAATCTCCTGATCTGGTTTTCAGACAATTGTCTGAATTAGACAATTAGACAACTGTCTAATTATTGTTAGACAATATGTCTGATATAGGCAATATCAGAATTTTGATTTTTTAAATTGAAAACCATGCTTGCTTGCAAGATAAAAAAAGCATTTGTAAAACTATTTTTAAAATCAAGTTTAAAAATGTCAGTATAAACATAGCAAAGGGCTTTTCTTACTGCAAATTGGCATAACACTTCATGAAGCATAATGTAATATAAATCAAAATAGCAAATGTCACGTTTTTACAGCTGATATTAAAACGGATGAGATGATTCTGTACTTAGATAGTTTTTAATGTTAATTAATTTTATATAAGCTATGGAAATGGATTTACCTCAATTTAATATATTAAATGCCAGGATGGTTAAAAATCAATGATTTTTTTTTAAAAAATTGGATTTTTTATTTAAATCCGATTTTTTTATTTTTATCAAGTTTATTTTAATAAAATGCTTTTGGAGTAAAAATCTATCTAAAGATAGTTTTCTATTTAAGGTGCATTAATGATTTAGTTTATTCAACATGAAATGGAGCTTAGTTATTAGCATAAGGCTGTATATTCTGCAATATTTACATTTTTGGTAAACTCATTCAGTGAATCCAAGCTCTACAAGCTAACTTACACTGCATTAATGCATTCACACTATTTCACAGTAACCATGAAATAAATAATAAAATAAAGTTCAGGAATATTCCTTTATCCCATTGTTTTGCAAAATTACAGTATGTACACAACAAATTGTATGATTGCTTGAAGAGAAATGCATCTGTACCACCAGGCTCTAAGTGTGAAGAAGGACAAGCAGTATAAATGAAAGTGAAACCTTAGCAGCTTATAAATATAATATTAAAGAGTACCTGTAATTGCAGTGGCAGCGCCTGTAGCGGCATCCATTCACCTGCTGCTGCCATTTCTCTCACCTTGTTGTGTCACTGCCGCATCACTAGCCGTCCCATTGAAGTGAATGGTACTGTCAGTGAGTCAATAGTGGGTCAGAGGAGGAGCCGCTGTGGGACAGAAATGACAATTGCTCTTTAAAAATTATGATTTAAATTGAGTTGATTTAAATCAAGGCTTTTTACTAGTGATTTAAATCATGATTTAAACTGTGATTTAAATCAACTTTATTTAAATCAAATCCACCCTGTTAAAGGCATTCATTTCATATTTTGGATTTTATTGTAAATATTAGTCACAACTATATTGGTAACTTATGAACAAAATTAAAGTTCTAACTGAATGAAAAGTACAAATGACATTTTTCAAATACTTCGTTGAAATCTCTCTTGAGTTTTAAAGTTAAATCTGATACTATGTTGGTAAATTTATTACTGTATTATTAAGATTGGTCACATAGTCAGATATTTAGACTGCATTCTCATCCACATATCAAGTCCTTCCCAAGAACCTGGTATAGGCAGAGATGTCTGATGGTGCTGAATTATTATCTGTTCACAACAATGTGAAATTACAACTGCCAGTTCTTTAGCTGGTGTTGGCCTTCACACATACTGAGTTCTTCCAAAGAAACTAGGATGTTGTAATATATCAGAATAGTATGAGTTATAAGTTATGAGTTATGAAAGTTTATTTATATGCTGCCCTTTTCCCTGGGGGGACTCAGGGCGGCTTACAACTCAAAAGGGGGGGGGGAAACAAACATTTGACACGTAGGAACAATGCCTAATTAAAAGCACAACATTCATACCATTCGGGTGGGTTACATTCTTTAGCCCCAGGCCTGACGGGATAGCCAGAGTTTAAGGGCTGTGCGGAAAGTCTGGAGGGTGGTGAGGGTACGAATCCCCACGGGGAGATCGTTCCACAGGGTCGGAGCTGCCACCGTGAAGGCTCTCCTCCGCGTAGTTGCCAGTCGGCATTGACCGGCAGATGGAACTCGGAGGAGGCCTAGTCTATGGGATCTAATCGGTCGCGTGGAGGTAATTGGCAGTAGGCGGTCTCTCAAGTACCCAGACCCACTACCATGGAGGGCTTTATGGGTGACAAGTAGCACCTTGAAGCGTATCCAGAGATCGACAGGTAGCCAGTGCAGCTCGCGGAGGATAGGTGTTATGTGGGTGAAGCGAGGTGCACCCACAATCGCTCGCGCGGCCGCATTCTGGACTAGCTGAAGTCGCCGAACACTCTTCAAGGGCAGCCCCATGTAGAGCACAATGTATATGTGAACATTCAAGTAGTAAGGCATTTTGCAATTGATAGGTAGAAATTTTGTCAAGGTATAACAGCAAAACAGAGTTGAGATCTTCTAGTCCAATCCCCTGCTCAAGAAGGAAACTCTATACTATTTCAGACAAATGATTGTCCAAGGTCTTCTTAAAAATCCCCAGTGTTTGAGCACCCACAGCTTCTGGAGGCAAGTTGTTCCACTGATTAATTGTTCTGTCAGGAAATTTCTCCTTAGTTCTAGGTAGGTTGGTTGTCTGTTTGAACAGTGGTATAAGTGTTGGTATAAAAATTGAAAATATTATGGTTTTTTTTTAGGTACAGTACAAGTGAGGACAAAGTGAAATCTGAGCAGATTTTCTGAGTTTTTGCTGAAATGAGTATTAATATAGATGGTTTTGAAGCAGTTCTTCACCCCATTCCCTGCAAGATAAGTTGTGGGTACTTACTATTTTTTAAATGGCCTTATTCTTAATGTTTTATTTTCCTTATTTTACAGTTGTCCGTATTTATCTGAGAAGATTACACCTGCAATTCCTGTAGTTGGAGCCATTCTGTTCTTTTTTGTTATGGGGACCTTGCTACGTACTAGTTTCAGTGATCCTGGAGTCCTGCCTCGTGCAACACCAGAAGAAGCAGCAGATCTAGAAAGGCAAATAGGTAACACAGAAGGTCTGTTGCAGTCTCTCTTTTCTCATTTTATTTCTCTGTCTTAAATGCCAGTTAAGCCCATATTTTAGTAGATTTTCTAATCATTCTGATCAATTTAACTTACTATTTTTACTTTCAGATATTCTTGACTCTGTTACTTTAAATCTGTCTAAATTTTCTGTTACAGATAGTCATTGACTTATGACCACAATTGAGCCTAAAATTTCTGTTGCTAAGTGAGATATTTGTTAAGTGAATTTTGCCCCATTTTACTACCTTTCTTACCATTGCTGTTAAGTGAATCACTGCGGTGTTAAATTAGCGACCCAGTTAAATGGATCTGGCTTCCTCATTGACTTTCCTGGGCAGAAGATTGCAAAAGTAATCACATGATTCTGGGACAGTGCAGCCGTCATGAATATGAGTCAATTGCCAAACATCTGAATTTTCATCTTGTGACTGTGGGAATGCTACAACAGTCATAAATGTGAAAAATGGTCATAAGTCGCTTTTTTCAGTGCAGTTATAACTTTGAATGGTCACTAAATGAACTGTTGTAAGTCAATGACTTCCTGTACTTTATGCAAAATCTACATCTAACTGAATGATCAACTGTTAATTTTACAATGTAGTAGACAATGATCACAGATAATACATTTGATTTAAATGGCAAAATAAATTGGTAAAAAAAATGATTTCAGTATCTCCTTTACAGCAATCAAATGGCTTAATTTAGTTTAGTTTAAAATGTAGTTAAAGACAATTCTGAAAATGAAGCTTAATATATGATTACCATATTTTTCAGAGTGTAAGATGCACCTCCTCCCTCCCCAAGGGTGAAAATATGGGTGTGTCTTATATACTGAATACAGCATTTTTGGCCTCCCGAAACTCTGCCTCCATAGCAAAAATGGACGTGCAGAGGGTTTGGGGGGGCCTGAAAAGTGCTCCTGAGGGCTGGGGAGGGCAAAAATGAGTGAAGAACAGGACATTTCTTGCTCGTTTCCCTCCCCCCAGCCCCATGAGCACTCTACAAGCCTCCCATAGCCTATACATGCCCTGTTTAATTAGATTTTTCCCCTTTTTACTTCCTGCCTTTAACCCCTTTAAAGTACATTTTAATCTTTCTTTACATTTGGAATAACACTGTTTACCCTGAAATAGAATAACAAGATGGGTATGTATCATCCTGTTGTTTATTAGATAACTGCTGAGTATATACTCAGCAAAATCCTTTTAAGTTTCACTGGCATTTCATTTTTTATACAATTTCATGCCCTAAATAGTGTTTCATGCAATTATCTGAGATTTTGGAAAAATAACAGTTTGGTCAGGATGGTGATGATACTAGATAAAACTCTCAAACAGATATTTATGTAGAAAGTAAGTGAGCATTGAGAAAAGAATGCACTTCTAGATACAGGTTTATATATGAGTCATAGTTCCAACAACTGGGAAGTAAAGTTTGTTTATTTTATCATACACTTATTTGTTATATTGGAAAACTTTGCTGGATTTTTCCCCCTACTTTAAGATGTAAAGAAATCGTTATTGATAGGGTGGACTAAGTTATGTTAAAAACTATAATATTCCTGAATTATGATTTTGAGTTTCCTTTCATGAAGGGCATGACATCTGGAGGTTTTAGCTACTGGAAGAGGGAAAAGGAATTTTATTTAATCCTTAAGTGTCTCAGTTTCCTCTCATTCTGTTTCAGAAGTTCCCTTATTACATTTTTATTTCTTCATGGTATATTCATTGCAGATTGCAGATTGTAATGAATAGAATTGCAAAGATTGAAAAAGTGTTTTGCAATAATGCAATACAAATAATTTTAAATTATTTGAACATACCAAACATCCTTTAAATTAAAGGAACATACCATTTCATTTCTACGAGTACATGAAAATAAATAGCAAAGATTCAGAATTAAAAAGTATATAAAAATCCAAGAGTTTGAACTGAACTGAAACACTCAATCTCCATCTTCTACTCTTGCTTATTTCTTAAACTCCTGGTCTCTAAATAGCTTTCTGGAGAGCACAAGTGGAAAACAGAGTTGATGAGCCTTGGTGGCACAGTGGTTAAAATGCAGTATTGCAGGCTAACTCTACCAGGACTTCGATCCTGACAGACTCAAGGTGGACTCAGCCTTCCATCCTTCCGAGTTTTCTTTTTTTTGAGGGGTGGGGCAATATGCTGACTCTGTGAACCGCTTAGAGAGTACTGTGAAGCACTAGGAAGCAGTATATACTGTAAGTCTAAGTCCTATTGAGATTGCTATAAAAATCACCATTTCCTGTTTTTTCTCCTCTTTAAGTGTCATATAGGAAGAGGATACTTTAATTCAGTATATATATATATATATATATATATATATATATATA